AAGGGTCACCGCCAGACGTGAAAGTCACAAGAGAACATGTGTACTCCCTACACACAGGGACTCGGTCCCCTGGGTCTTCAGGCCCATCGAAGATGGCATGAGAACAACAGTCACTGGGGGGGTGGTTTCGGTGACTGGATGCAGTATGGGGGGTGCACTGTGACCCACACTCATGTGACAGCAACACAGGTCATCTGACAAGGGACACGGGCGCACAGGGGAGTGGGCTGGTGCTAGGCCTGCCTTGCCCCCCTTCGCTGGGCTGGACAGGAGGCTGTGCAGGGGGCCCAGGGCAGGCTCCAGCAGGTGCCATGTTCTTCCTGCCGCTCCAGAGAGCAGACCAGAGAGTGACCCTGCTGCCTGTAGCACAGTGGCTGCACCCCATCCCCCGGGAAGTCCCAGCCCGCCGGCCACGGGTGGGCCAGGCTGACTGCGCACTCTCCCTGCTGAGCCGAGCAGCTACAGACAGGGGAAACTCCCATCTCCCACAGCTTGGAAACGGACTGCCGCTTCCCGTGAACAGCTGCAAACCTGCGAGGTGCGGAGCTGCGGGAACCATCTAGAAGGAAGAGCCCCAGGAGCCACTGGCCGCAGAAGTGAACACAGGCTGGAAACCGAACGCCTTGGGCCCAGCGTCCAGGGGGCGCTGTGACCCGTACCACCCAGCCTCCCCCCACTGGGTCTGGGGCCAAGGGTGGGCAGCAGGACTGCTTCCAACACGGCTGACGGGCACAACTCCTCCCTAAGCACTTCCTGAGACAGACGGTCAGCGTCCTGGGTGGTGCCCAGCACACGGCACTTGGTGCTGAGGTCCCAGCGGTCACGGTCAGAATGGAAGTGGACGGAGATGTGCAATGACAGAAAGCTTTGTTTTGTTTCATTCTGGTCTCATTTCTTCAGTCAGAAGTCACAGAGGACAATTTAAGAGGCGTTATGCAAAAAATTGACAGCAGCTAACATCTTTAAAAATGCAAAGTTGAAGAAGCTACTGGAGAAAAGTATAACCTAAACATCATCTATATGACAAAACTGGATTTTCTCTTGGCACCTGGGTGGCTCAGTGGGTAAAGCCTTTGCCTTCGGCTCAGGTCATGATCTCAGCGTCCTGGGACCAAGCCACTTGTTGGTCTCTCTGCTCAGTAGGGAGCCTGCTTCCCCCTCTCTCTCTGCCTGCCTCTCTGCCTACTTATGATCTCTGTCTATCAATAAATAAATAAAATCTAAAGAAAAAAAAAAAGAAGTGGGAAAGCGTCCTTTCTTCCGAGTGAATGTGTGGTTGAACACAGTGATTGAACACACTTTGCTCAGACGAAATCCTTGGCGGAGCTGCTCAATGCCCCACAAACCGAGAGAGGACCCGCTGATGGGTGCAGGGTGGGTGGCATGGAACAGGTCCCAGTATATCTTCAGTCAGTAGATTTGGAGGGGACAGAAATTCAGTCAGGTGGCCTCCACCGCACCTGCTCTGTACCTGTGCACCCTGGGGCAGGACCCAGCCTGCTGGGAGGTGGGGACGCCCTGCTGTCAACCACAGGGAAGGGGGGCAGGCTCTCCAACAGGAAGTGAGGGGAGCCCAAGCAGGGCACTCAGGTGGTGAAGAGGAACCAGGGGCCAGGACATTTTCCCAAACCCCCAGGAAGGCAAGGCACAGGAAGTTGGCGAGACTTCCAGCAGTAAATGGCACGGATTGCTGTGTGGCCTTCCCTCAGGGAGCTTAGCAATTCCACCTGCATCTGGCGGAACTGGGGGCTGAAAGAAGGGTCTAGGGGAGTGGAGGCTGGCAGGAATAGGCTATTGGGCGGGGGAAAGGATAAAGGGCAGCCTGACAACTTGGGAAAATGAGAGCAAAGCCCCCGCAGCCAGGCTCTCTCTAAGCACTTTGCAAACATCAACTCCGTGACTTATCCCAGGCCAGGAGGTAAGTGTTTCCTGGTAGCAAAACAGGGAGGCACAAAAGACTTCCCCAAACCACAGGGCAGGAAGTGAAGCCGCTGGATGTGAACCCAGGCCACTGGAAGAAGTCACTCTCCAAATACTCAGAGGATTGGATGAGTCGGGGCGCTCTTCTCCTGAGAGGGAGTAGAGCTGGGCACAGTGCACCCAAGGAGCAGGGACAGCAGCTCTGCACCTCACGGGCACTGAGCCCTGGGGACCGAGGGGCAGGCTGACACTGTGAGACCCACAGGATTTGGGGTCAAGTTGAAACCAAGGGGAATATTCAAGTGTACATCACATTTATTAAAGATTATAATTTTAATTCATTCGAGACATTTTGTAATTAAGATTTCATGTTTGTAGTCTTTCCTATTATGCATTCTCATACAAACGCACAGATAGGAATTACTGAGAATTAGTGACATCAAGTGTTTGAAAATGGATACTTTTAGGATGATACAAGACACCTAACTACACTCCATTCCCTTAAGTGGTTTAAACATTTCTTCTGAAATCTATTATTAATATTATTAATGTGCTGGTGATGTCTTCTTGAAAAATTGATAATGCAATCACATCTTAATTAAGTTCTTCTGGAGCACCATGCGCTCACGGGCACTTCCCTGAGGGTAACGAGGGGCCTACATGTCCCAGGGCAGTGGGGGGCTGGGGCACAGCCAGGTTCAAGGCAAACAGGTGTGACAGGCTGTGCTCCCCGCACAGAAACCAGCAGCTGCAGAGACAGAGAAGGATGACAGGGGCCCGTGAGACAAAAGGTCACAGGCCACGCAGCTCAGCGGAACAGCACCGCGGCTGCGTGGAGTTGGCCGTCCCACATCCAGAGTCTTCCAGAGACCCCGGCTACAAGTGGTCAGCATCATGTTCTCTGTCTTGTAACAGAAGCCAGTGTCCAGGTGGTGTGGGCCCTGTCTGGTTGGGAAAGGGGAGGAACCAAAGCAAACACCCTCTGACGGGCAGCGCCATTTCTATTTTGAGAGGGAGGGGTGAGCTCATGCCAGGGAGCCCTGGGAGGCCCTGAGAGGTAGGTGCTGCTCGCTGCCCTTCCCTGGGACATCAGGGGAAGAGTCAGAGGTGTCTCCTGACAAGGCAAGGCCACTCAGCAAGAGGTGGTGGCTCGGCTTGATGGCCGGGTGCTTAGTCTTCTGCTTCCTCCACTGGGACCTTGGGGGCCACACTCGCCACACCCAGGGCAGGAGGAAGGGCTGTCTGCTCAGCATATCCACAGCAGTGGGGGGTATAGGTGTGCATAGGTCCATTTTACTGATGCCAAACTGAGGCCAGGGGAACCTAAGGAATCCATTGCAGGGCACACAGGGCTATGAAAGCAGTGGAAAGATCTGACCCGAGCTGCTGGCTGCCGGAGCCCATGATCTCTGTCCACCTGACCCACCCTCATGCCCTTAAGGTGAGGGAGACTCTCTGCTCCTCGTTCTCTTTCCTGGGCCAGGGCACCGGGAGCATGCACGGTCTTCCTCTCTCCACAGAGCCCGCTGCTCCCTGTGACCTGCCATTCTGCTGATCTGAACTCAGGTCAATACAGCACCAAGTTCCAAAAGCGGGGATGGGGGCCACCTTGGGAGAACTGGCCCCCAGCTCCTGACAGAGACCTTCCTGTTGGGTGCGTGGGCTCTCTGGGTGAAACCCACGGCTGTCCTCCATGGAAGGGTGAGAATCACATACTCACGCCGAGGAGAAGAGGACAGAGTGGCAACTTCCCTTTCACCAGGGGAAGGTTTACAGGCGACGGGAAGCCCTGCCCATGCCTGCAGGGTCCTTACTGTTGACTTGGAGGGGCTCCATAGACCCCTCTCCCATCCTTGTCCAGGACTCTGGGGTCCTGGACCTGTGGCCATTCTGATGGGGCCACTCAATCTCGCACACCTGAGTGTCAGTCAAGCACTACCGAGGGGCCTCGCTGCAATTTCTGGCTCTAGACTCAGGCTCTGCTCCCTGAGTGCCGCAGCGAGCTCTCTGGGCCCTGCTCTGCCTGTTGTGAGGCTCCAAGTCTTCTGTTGTTAGGATGGAGTGGTATATGAGCCCCCAGCCCTGTCACCCAGTGCCTCATCACTCAGGTAAAGATGCTGGTGTCTCACTGCCTTAAAGAATATCTGTCTAAAAGCAACCCAGATCCTCTGGATAAAACAAAATCTGTGTTTACAAAGAGAAGGCTGTGCTGCACGGGCCTCAGTTCCACTAAGCAGGAACTTCCCAAAATGCCCTGCGACCACAGGCTCCGCATGTCTGCGACCAAGGGACCCAATCCTCCACAGCCTGCCCTAGCCTGCCCACACCTCGTGGTGGACAGAGCCTCTGCAGGACACCCCCGCTCTGGCCCCTGCCCTTCCGGCCACCATTGAGCCCTGGCCATGGCCACTCTGATCTTTCTTAAAAGCCACTGCCCACTCAAACCATCACTGCTGGCAAAAATCCAAGGGAGCCTGTTGGGAGTGTGAATACCCTTCTTCTTCTGGTCTGTGACAGGGCCGCACACACCCCGAGGTCTCCTCCTGAGATGTCCTTGCAGGACACAATGAGTTTCTTTCTTGAACAGACTTCCTCCCACTCTGGGATACCCCCCGGGCCCTGCCCAGAGTCAGCCCCAAGGGCCACAGGCCGGCTGGCCTGCTCCCACAAGGTCTCATGTGAATCAGCAGGAGCTGCTGTGTCCCTGAGCCCAGCAGGGGATGCTCTGGGCTATGACAAAGTGGAGCACATCACCCAGAGGAGGGTAAGCTTGGGTGTTGTTTATAAATGAGTGTGAGTTTTAAGCCGTAGGTGTACACACATGAGGCTCGTTCTCTGGGTATGAATCATAAAGCAATGCTTAAGGACATTATTTTAAAAAATGATGCTCTAATACAAAAAGCCAATACTTAAGCACAAGCAGGGATTCCCTCTGACTCAGCCTGTAGGGAAAGTGGGAGGGTCGGTTGAGAGCCCCGCCCCCTGTGGCGAATGTGGGAGGGGCCGGCCAAGAGCCCCACCCCCAGGCTCTGGGCCTGGGAGCCCTGAACCTGTTTTTTGGAGCAGGAAGGAGCACTGACCTGTTTTTCGGAGCGGGAAGTCATCTTTGCTGTCGTACATTCCCAGGACCGGGTGGTTGTAGGAGGCCGACACCCCACTCTGGGGTGGGGAGCTCTGGTCAAGCGAACTGTGCTGTGTTTTCCTGGAGAGAAGAAGCAAAGGCAGACGGATGAGTCAACAAGGGGCGGAAGCCCGCCAGACACATCGGCCCCGGATCAGCTCTGGCCGACCAAGGGGATGGGCTCCTGTCTGCCCCAAGGCTGAAATGAGACAGAAACCAATAATGAACACGCGACCCAAGGCTGAGCAGCACCTCCACAGCTGAACCCTGTGCCCAGAGGAACAGGGCCTGGTGTGAAGCCGGCAAGTATCCTGTTCCTCTTGGGCGGCTCCTTGCAGGGCTGCTCCCAGGCCACCAGGCCACAGCCAGCCACGAAAGGGCCTGTCCTCAGGGGCCCATGGCAGCCAAATGTGGACAGGACCTGCACAGTTGCAGGCAGCTGAGATCTGGTGGGGTGTATTTGGATCAAACAATGGTCAAGTCTGGGGTTCCCAAGGGGCCCTTCCTTCAACAGAAAATACCCAGTGTTCATCCGCACCTTCAGAGGAACAAAATCCACCCTGTCACCCCACTTCCTGGGGGATGGCGGGTATCAGGAGCCAACACCCTGTGCCGGGAAGTGGGTCTGTGATGTTTACTGCCTCCAGTGACCAGCCAGGCACACTCAGTATCCTCAAAATGGTGAGGCAGGCTCTGGCTCCAGCAGGAGGCTCAAGTGGGCGGGAGGGGAGTGGGGTTTGGGAATGGGGTGCCGCCAGCCCTTGGGAAGACCATCGGCATGTCCTGGAAGCTCCCACCCTAGGTATAATGAATTCTGTCGAGTCTTTAAACTGTGTAATCTGCTTAATGGCTTGAAGCAAATTTGCCAACTTACTTATTTGGAATTTGTTCGACTGTTTATTTGAATACACAGTACTCCACATCCACACACCTGTGTTATTTGAATTAAGAATAGGAGCTCTTAAATGCTTACAGGTGGATCATTTAAATATGGGAGAGCAAACTTGTGCAGACTGCGGGCTGATCACAGAGACCCGTCCATTGAGCACAGCCTGGACATCTGGGCTGTGGGGCCCAGCCAGGCTGTGTAGCGGGCAAGAGCTCATGCTCCTGGGGACAGGTGCATGCACACGACTGTACCCGTGACACGGGGTCACCTCCTTAGGCAGGAAGCCCTCCTTTTTACTTGTGCTTCCGCTGAGACAACCCTGGTCTCATGTCAGGGGGACACTGTCTGACAATCTTATGAAAGGTCTGAGGGTGGTTGCCCCGGGTGTCTCAGTTGTTACGCATTTGCCTTCGGCTCTGGTCATGATCCCAAGGTTCTGGGACCGAGTTCTGCATCAGACTCCCTGCTCAGTGAGGAGTCTGCTTCTCCCTCTCCCTGCTGCTCTATTTGTGCTCTCTCTCACTCTCTCTCTTTCTGTGTCAAATAAATAAATAAATAAAATCTTAAAAAAGAAAAAAAAAAAAGGTCTGAGGGCAACACTATCTCTACCAAATCACGTCTTCTGAGGTGTCCTTTGGGGAATGTGGCCTTAGCCGGTTTCAAACTTCTTAGTGCTAAGTCACAATGTGGGAAGGAATTCGCTTTCTCTTTCATGAGATGCATGGAAAGACCTGTGTGTGCATTTTGTGACCCGAAAGTGTGAATAATAATTATTAGTAGAATAGTATTATAAATAATAACTACTGTTGTTAGACTTCAATTATACACTGTTTATAAAGAAGCCACAAGTTGGAAAACCTGTATTTGTTCAAGATCTAATAGATTTTCTCTTCCGGTTTGCTCTCTGGAGATGCTGACAGGGTGAAACCCCCTCCCTCTCTCATAGGGCCCTCAGAGCCACAGTGCAAGGCCATGACCTGGGCTCAACACACAGCAGTCCTGCATCACCTCAGGACAAGGAGCTGGGCTGGCACGCAGGAGGCCAGGGCTGTCACCACAGAGCCCCCAGCCTTCAAGGGAGTGACTCACATCCCCACCAAGCAGCTGCCTGAAACCCTTCTGACTCCTGAACGAGAGCTCATCCCCAGGTGCCCACCACAGAGCTAAGTGGGCTGCTCCAGGAAAACCCGCCTTCACCGCCCCCCCCCCCCCTGCCCAGGGTCTGTGCACGTGTGTCCCAGGGAACGAGGACCTGGAGGGTGAGCAAAAGTGAAGTCCTGACCCTGGACTGCATGCGTACCCCCCAGTGACATGCTCTCCCTCTCGCACATACCTGAAGTATCGCACCCCACCCTCATACCTCACACATACCCCACCCTGCACACTGACACGCTCTCACATACATCCTCCTCCACCACTGACACACTCTCAATAGTCACACGTACCCCACCCCGCATACTGACATGCTCACACACTCACACGTACACTGACATGCTCTCATAGACACTCTTCCCCACACTGACATGCTCACAGTCACATGTACCCTACCCCACAGACCTACACGCTCACACACCCCCTACCTGTACATTGACACACTCTCACACACTTAGTGCACTCCACTCCATGCACAGACCCTCACACACTCCCATGTACACACCTGCCACCCCCACCCCCTCACAGAGGGGAGCAGAACCTGAGGGTGGCCCCTTCCATGAGCCTCAGCCCTGCCCATAGGCCCAGCCCCAGCTCCCGGCCCCAAGTCATGGCCCTGGTCACAGCCCTTGGTCACAGCCTGGCAGGAGGTGCTTGGTGGCACCTGTGCCAGCATCCGGGCCACTGGTGGATGACATGTGGTCTTCAAGGAGGTGCAGACGGAAGCACAGAGAGGAGCGCCCTCTCCTCGGCTCTCTGGGCCCTCCTCAGGCTGCGACATGGCATCCAGCCGCCTCAGCCCTCCACAGCCGCTCTTTCCCGCCAAGTCAGACTCACACAAGTGACCTCAACACAACCTGCCCTCGCCTAACCAGCACTGCCCAGTGCAAGGACAATGTGAGTTACCCGTGCAATTCAAATGGCACAGCAACCCTGCTGTAATGAGTAAAAACGGCTGAATTGACTTTATGACACTCTTTAACCCAATACATCCCAGTTACAATCATTTCAATGCGCAATCAGCCTACAAAGGTCAGTGAACAGTTCACATTGTCTCCATCATGCTGAGGCGCTGCAGTCCGCCCTGTCTGGCACCCGCAACAAATCTCCATTAGAACAGCCTCATCTCTGGGCCCAGGGACACATGGGGGGCCACCACCACCGTGGACACAGAGCAGCGTTGTCTCCACCGACAGGACCCCATGCCATCCGCAGCCGAGCTTGGGGCCCCTAGCCCAGTTGCCAGCTGGCTCTGGTGCTAGATTCATCGTGCTGACTCCAGACTATTATTTACCCGTGTCCCCGAACAGGGGTCCGTGTCGCTTCTCCACCCGAGTATCCTGTCTCTGAGGCCCGCCGCCTCCTGTGCTCTCCCTCTGGTGGGTGCTCGGGCTGCTTCCGTTCTTTGGCAGCAACAAACGATGCAGCCGGGACCCCAAGAACATGCGTGTGTGCGGACAGAAGTTTTTACCTCTGGGGCAGACCCTGGCAGGACAGCGTCTTGAGGGGAGGGGGCACGTTCACTTTTATGAGAAACTGCTGGACCATTTGCCACCAGCTGCACCACTCCGCTCCCCCGGGCTGCACGCCACAGTCCACGGGCCCCACAACTTCACCGCTTGGCCAGCTAAACTCCAGGCACCCCACTGGGTGCGAGGTGGTGACACCCAATGGCTGAGATTTGCATTTCCCTGACAGCTAACCATCTTTTCATGGACTCGCTGGCTATCTGTAGGTCTTATTTTCTGAGGTATTAATTCAAATCTTTTGCTTATATTTTTTTCAGTAGATCACTTATCTTTTTATTATTGAGTGACAGGAACTCTTTATATATTTTGGATATAAACCCTGTGAGTAGTTACAGGAATTGTGAATATTTTTCCAGTCCATGGTTTGCCTTTTTATTTTCTTCATGGTGCCTTTGAAAGAGCAGTTTGTAATTGTCACAAAGTCCATCGCTGGAGTTTTTGGTTTATGCTCAACGACAGCAGTGTCCTAAGAACTCTGTCTACCTCTGCCCCAGGCTGTGAAAACTTCTCCTATCTTTTCTTCTAGGAGTTTCAGCTTTTGTGTTTGGGTTTACATTTGGGCTAATAATCACTGCCGGTGAAGTGAAGCCAAGGTCAAAGTTCAGTTTTTCCTCCACAAAGACCCAGTTTTCTGACCGTGTTTTCTGCCTTCACACAGCAAGTGAACGCGACAGTCACTCCGCGATGTTGGGTTTAGAGTGACAGCGCAAGGCCGCTGCCAAATTCAGTGCAAACAAACCCATCCCCGGGCTGACTTCCCCACTCCAGCCCATGTGCCCCAAATCCCTCTAAGGGAGCTGAACCCAGGGCATGCAGGCCACGTCCGGGTCAGGCCTGAGGAGCCCCTGCTCCCCAGCCAGCAGCTGCCTCAGTCCCTACTGGGACCCCCACAACCCAGGATGGAAAGCCACCTGCCCTCCCTCTCTCCCCCTTCCCTGCTTGGGAGCTCCTCCCCAGAAGCTCCTCCCTCCATTCCAGACTCTCTCCGCAGTGCTCCCTTTCTGCCGGGACCCACCCTCCCCCACAGCCTCTGGGACTGGAGGTGACACACTCTCCTGTCACATGTGACCCATCACCATAGCCTCTGTTCCGGCCAGTGGTCTCCCGTCCCAGCCTCCTGCCCGCTCACAGGGAACCTGGCACCAGCCTTCTACCATCTGACATGGTCAGCCTACAACTTCTGTAGGCTTCCGGTCCCCTGGCCCCTTGCCAGCCTTACATCCTCAGTAGTGTCCCTGACTGACCCTCCCAGCCCGCCAGCCACTGCTGCTAAATGCTCCATCCCGGCAGGTCCTAGGGTGCCTCTGCCCTCTTGGCGCCTTCACTGGCCTGTCCTCTCAGATCCCCCCAGTGCCTCCCAGTCTGAGCCCCCAAAGCCCACTCCTCTTCCTACTGTTTTCAGTGCAAACCCCACGGATACCATCTCACAGGCTACCCAAACTGCTTTCCTGGGGGTGTTGCCCAGTGGCCCCACCCCCAGGGGATAGTGCAGCTTTCCCACAGCAGCCCCGGTTGTCTGGGGGCCCAGACGTGGGGCCACCAGGTGCTGCTACTGGCGTTTCCAAAGAATCCTGCATGCGGTGGATGTGGGCACGTGGCCTTGCTTGTGGCTTTCCACGGCTGCCGCTGCCTCTGCTCTGCGGTGGGAGTCGTGTCACTGGCTGACCTGCATGCACGCCCACACGTGTGCAGACAGGTGTGAGCACAGCCTTCCGGACCTGGCGGCATGTTGTGGCGGCACACAGCATGAGGGCTGCTTTCTCTGCCTTGGAATAATATTCCTTTCCGGTTGTACTGATTACGGCGTCGTCTGCCAGGATATGTGGGACCATCCCAGGGGGACATGGTGGTGTTTGATTTAGTCAAATAGTTGCCCCTTTAAGAGCTTGAAGATAGATATGTTTTTCCCCAATACAATGAATGATAACCATATTTTGACTTATGAAAACTACCCTATGGGTTTTCTGTAAGAAATGAAATTACCCTCAAAGACAGCGAAAAACTGTATTTCAAAGCAAAGCCTGCAAAGCACCCTTGATCATGGTTTAAAGCCATGTACAACTGCCCCTCCGTGCCCCATGTGGCCTGGGCCATGGCCAGCCCCTTGCAGCGAGTTTATGCTCAGAGGACATCCCTGTGCACGTAGGCATCACTTCCGACCTTTATGCAGCGCCACACCAGTTTTCTTTAACTGTCAGCAGGAGGAAGGCTCCCTGGTGGCCTCTGTCCATTATGCCTGCTCTGGGAGAGGGTCCCTAGCACAGAAATAAAATATGCCACAGCTGCTGTGGGCTTACCCAGCAGTCAATAAAACACCGGGTCGAAATTCAGTAGGTGCATTCGGACAATTTAGAACCAGAGTTCCAGTTTAAGTGGCTCCTTTTGCGGCCAAAATATATGGTGAGAAGAGTCACGGCCAGGCACCGGCCCTGCACACGTCAGTCCATTCACTGACAGATGGGCCCTCTCTGTCTGGAAGACCACCCCTGCGCAACACCCGCCGGACTGCTCATTACCCCATGTTCGCGGCTGTGTGCAGAGCCTTCCTGTCCACACCCCCTGCCTCGCTGGGTGAAGAACCAGGTGCCGCTTGGGCCACCGAGAGGAGGCTCGAAGCCTGCGCATGCCCCCACTTACCCGTACCAGTAGCGGGGGTCGCTGGAGATGCAGTGGTTCAGGTTCCGGTGGGCCAGAGCCTTCTTCTTATTGAGGACAAACTCCTGCAGCTTCATCTTCACCTCTGTGCTGGCCACCGCACCTGGCGCAGAAGGAAGCACAGATAGGTGACCCACTGGAGCCGCAGCCCGGGGAGTGGAGGGCGGCCGCGGGGCTCCTTGCCTGACAGGGAGCGAAGGTGTGCTGACGGGCCCGGGGTTCTAACTCAGGATGTTGCTGATGCCGTGACGGCTTCTCAAAGGAAGGAAAAAGATGGGAGTTTTAATAAGAGGCCTTCTTCCCATGAAGATTTTACATAATTGCATCCCATCTAAAATGCAGAAGTCATCAGCATGAAGACTTACTATTACCTAACACAAAACCACCAAGGGAAGTTTGATTCTGTTATATAAAAGACCATTCTGAATTCGGTGCTGGCAGTGTGCTGGCTTCCTTCTCACTGGAGCAAAAACAGCAGACACTCAGAGCGCTTCTGTGCACACCCCCCAGTGCCAGTGAGAGGGACGGAGTGTGCACCCTGGGCCGGCACATTGTGATGCTTGTGTACAAGGAAACCGAGCCGGCTTCGTTTCCACGCGTGTCAGAGGGAAGTTTCTGTTCCTTCCAGCTCATCGACTACTTACTTCGAGCATGTTTACCAGGCTTTACTAAAGTCAGAATCATGTGCTCTGTGGTTTTCTTGCGTGCTGGTTACTCACCCAAAGAGAAAACAGGCAACTTTGAGAAACAGACCCACAAAGCAAAGTCCAGACACACCGCTCTATCGTAAGACCCGTGCGTGTCTGATCCACGCTCCGACTCCACGGCACGCTCTGTGGCTCCGACTCCACAGCACGCCTGCACCCACCCCTTCCCTGTGAGCAGCATAGTTCCTGCTGTGCAGAATGAACCAGGATTCTTCATGGTGGAAAGACACTTCAGAAGGTGAGCAAAGCACAGTTTACATTTTACAAACCCATTTCTGACTGGAAGGCATTTTTAGATTGTCCTTGTTATTGTCGTTCGAAACCGTACTGCGGTGAACATGAGCAGACGTCATCATATTGAGGATTTGCTTAGGAAAGACCACCAAAGTCAACATATTTAACAAAAGGAACCTTATAGCCCTTGAAGCATCTTCTTTTTTTTTTTTTTTAAGATTTTATTTATTTTACAGAGGGAGAGGGATCACAAGTAGGCAGAGAGGCAGGCAGAGAGAGAGGGAAGCAGACTCCCCGCTGAGCAGAGAGCCCGAGGCGGGGCTCGATCCCAGGACCCTGGGATAATGACCTGAGCTGAAGGTAGAGGCTTAACCCACTGAGCCACCCAGGCGCCCCTCAAAGCATCTTCTAATTGCTTTCCCAAATGCCTTCATACACAGACGATCATGTGCCACGAGCGGGCAGGCTCCCCACATCTTCATGAGTACTCGGGATCACCCTATGTCTCTGTCCATCAGTACTCGGGATCACCACGTGACCCTGCGTCTCTATCAGTACTCAGGATCACCCCACACCTCTGTCCATCCGTACTCAGGATCACCACGTGTCTCTGTCCATCAGTACTCGGGATCACCACGTGACTGCATGTCTCCATCACTATTCGGGATCACCACCTGACCCCACACCTCCATCCGTCAGTCCTCAGGACTACCACATGACTTTGTCTTCATTAGTACAGGCGACTGTCACTTGCTGCAAATGGGAAGGGCAGCCGGTATTTCACTGTGGTCCCTGATAACTCCCCGGGGAAGTAGTTATCTTTTGCTCTTGTGATGTATCTTTACGTCCTTGGAGTATTTTTTCTTGCAGAGTATTCTCATGGTACGTTTGGGGGTGGCACGGTGGGTCTGTGTGTTTACCTTTTAAATGTTCACCCATTTGAGCTGTAGGTTTTACAGCAATAAATCTATTGTGAGCCTCCTATGCTAGGCCTCGCACATTTAAAGCTCCCATGAGCACTGTGAGCAGGTATCATCAGCCCCATGTGGTCCGGGGAGGCTCCCAGGCAGCAACCAGCAGCAGGGTCTAACCAAAGCAGCTTGATCCCTGGCCCCAGCTCTCCCTTCTCCTCCATATTTGTGTGCAAGCCTCTGCCCTGGTCTCTTGTTTCCTTTCAAAACTTGGATGATTTCCTAATTTTGTGAGATAGCACGTGTGTGTGTGTGTGTGCGCACATATGTGTATATGTGCAAATACATACATACGTACATGTGCTTGTCTATATATATACATACATATGTATGTGTACACACACACACACACACACACACACACCTGCCCCCGGTTCCTGGCACCAGGCTCCTAAAACCCTTGCAAACTCCTGATCTAATGCGGTGGCTGGACTCTTGGGAGGCTTCTGGAAGGGGCTGGTCACCAGAAGAGCGAGCCATCGTTAGAAGCTTAGACTTTTCAGCGCCATCGGAGAGGGGTGAGGGGCTGGCAACGGACTTAACGGTTGGTCATGAGGAAGCCTCCATAAAGTCCCATAGGATGGGGTTCAGAGTGCTTTCTGTGTGCCAAGAACGTGACACATACCAACAGCATGGGGACAGAGACTCCAGCACTCGGGACCTGCCCAGACCTTACCCGCGCGCACCACACCATTTGGCTGCCCACCTGCGTCCTCGGGCACACCCTTCAATGAACCAGTAAACCTACGTCGGAACTCCCCTGAGTTCTGTGAGCTGTTCTGACAAATTCAACGAGCCCAAGGAGGGGGCCATGGACACATCTGACCTGCAGCCTGGACTTCCAGACTCGTGGGTCTGATCCTCCAGGTAGACAGTGTCAGAACCGGCTACATAGCAGGACAGCCGGTGGTGGTCAAGCTCGGCAAGAGACCCCACGTGGGTGGCCACCAGCACTGTCAGAAGGGAGGCTTTCCAGGTGTAAAAGTAAAGGACAAACACAGGAGGTAAGGACCAGGTTTCCCCCAAGAAAGGAAGGAAATACTGGGATTTGTCCTCATTTTAATATTCAAATGCTAGTTTATATGTAGTCTGCTCAGGTTTTCTCATTGCAATTTTTTCCATTTTCTGGAAGTGCTGAAATTGATCTTCCGTTCGCTGGTTTGGTAAATAATCAGTTTTATTTTATGCTTGGTCTTCCAGTGCTGGGTTTTCACTAACTGAGCTGCTTGCTATTGCTAGATTTTCATGTTTCTTTCTGATATACATGAAATGGGTTTTGGTGTGAGACTCTACAGGTATTTTGACAAACTGCTCATAAATTGTTAATATCATTAGAGAAACTGTCTTTGCTGCCACTGTTATCACACCCCCAGTACACGCTCTCATTCACAGACTTTTTGACTAGCTGTAGGTGTGTCTGCCTTCTCGGAGGCAGTGCGCCCCTACAGTTCCGTCACAGAGAGCCTCTGTGGGTGGTGGGTGGTGGTCAGAAAGTATGGATCCCTGGGGACCAGGTCCTCCATAGCTGCGGTAGGGCTTGATTTTAGCTCATCCAAGGGAAACACAAAGAAAGTTCACTACACTGATTCCAAAGCACCTTCAGAAGCTCCCATCACGACATACCAGTTTTTGTCCCGGGCCTTCCCAGGGTCCGAGGAAATGACCCCATCGGCGCCCAAGAAGAGCACCTTACTAGAGCTCTGTGCACACCATGTGCTGGCCACTGGGCAGAGGGCACGCGGGAGGACGGACACAGCCAGGCCAAGCTATGGGTGACCGAAGGCACAAAGTCACTGATTCTGAGCATCGCGGTTCAGTGCCCTCCAAAGGTAGCCAGAGTCAGGCTGAACAATGATCCAGAACACACAGAGCCTGTTTCCAGTCTACAAGTGGGCTTGTCAGAAAATCGCACGAACACAGGGATCTGCGTATAACGTGCCCAGACATGCAGTCACCTGGCATACCCCTAACCAAGCACCAGCACCAAGGGCAGCTGAGGACATACGCCAAGGGTTACCCGTGTCAGGATACAGCATGCCTTGCAACCAGGAGCAAGAGGTGATGCAGGGCACGGAAGGGCAGAGGGCACAGAGGGCCGTCTATGCAGAGGAAATGCAAATCCACTGGTAATTCACAAGTGGACCCAGCTGACAAAAGAAACCACAGTGGAATGAGGAGCTCCGGATTTCTTTCCACCTCCCGGTGCTGCTGGCCTCACGGCGAAGTGATCAGAATGCCTGATGATGAGGAGAGGGTGCACGAGGGGGAAGACCCAGATGAAGGAAGAGAAGATGGCCTCCGGTCCTTCACAACTGTGGGTGCAGGAGACTGGACAAGGCAAAGCCGGGCAAGCGGTAGAGTGTCTCGGTAGGTGGAGGAAGGTCGTTCCTGAGAGTTTCCCAGCAAACCAAACCTGGGAAAACACCTGTCAATGTGGATCCACTTTCCCTCCATGAAAGGGACGCTTGTGAGGCCCCCGCGAGCACTCCAGGGACAGGCTGATCCCAACGACCATGTTTCAGGAGCCTCTGACCCTCCCTGCTTCAGCTGTATCCCTGGCTGGCATCACGGGCTCCAGAACTCAAGGAAGCACAAAGAACAGACCCTCCATCCCAGCTAAATCCCAGGAACAGGCAAGCACAGCACAACGTGGCAAGGAACAGCTGCCTCCCCTGGAGGGGACACTGGCCCCCATCAGCCCTTGTCTCCTGAGCTGTCTGTCACCTGTGTCCTCACAGGAGGACATATGTCTCACGACTGACCTGTGGTCCCTCCACCTGCAGAGCGTGGGAGAAGGCACCTTATGGACTCTCTTGGATCCCATCAAGCCAAGCCCACCTCCCTGAATGCAGGAAGGTTCCTTCCGGCACAAACAGACAACCGGATGACCACGGAACCTCCCTGATGTGTCCGGCCAAGGCCACATTACAAGAGGGGGCAGATGGTGACCTGGTCACAAGGGTGGCCCCCTGGGGCACTCCCTGGACCCTCCTCTCAGGGGCAGTGGGCACCACCAGGGTACAGGTCCTCATACTTGCACAGGGCCGTGGCCGCGGCCAACGCCAGTAACGCCGCGCACCGCAGAGGGACTGTCTGTCCTTCGTGCTTCACAGCAGAGGATATTCAAGGAACAGCCACTATCCTTCTAGCTGTTTACTCATCTCTCAGCAGATTCTGCTGCTTTTTGCTTTCTCATCGTCTATTACCTTCGTGGATGTGGAAATCTTGGCGCTCTTATTAGAGAGATCTCAATTCTAACCCGATGCGCCTCACAGAGCAGTTCTTCCGACACTTAGGAAATACTGAGTTAAAAAACAACTGTTTTCTCCTCTCCTTTTTTTTTAAAGTTTGTATTTGAATCCCAGCTACTTTACATCATACTGTATTAGTTTCCGGTGCACAACATGGGGACTCCACACTTCCACGCATCAACCCTGGGCTCACCCAGATACTTCCACCTTAACACAGAGTTACAGAACTGATAAAACACATTCAGTACACAAATACCCAACAGCTCTAATTTTCACTTTTTAACAAGAACGAATTCATGCTGACTACCATTCATTCATTGGACAGGCTTTATGTGCCAGATTCCGATCTGGTCGATGGGGACAGAGATGGAAACAGAAAAGACAAAGCCTCCCCCGCACATGGGGCAGGATGTAAGGGACAGGCCGGTGAGTACAGACCAGAAAGCATGGGGGGCCGAGGAGATGGTGTTGGGCACCGGCCCAGGACCTGGGGGCCCATGGGGAGGGGAAGGTGCTTCTAGACACCGTCTGTCATGACGGACTCATGTTTCTCCTGCCCCACGGGCCTCTGAGAAAGGCCCGACTTCACAAATGGGACAGAGAGTTACTTTCTGGATCAGGTGTTGGATCTTTCAACTCAAGTCCTTTGAGCCTTTTTTTAAAAAATTATTTTTTAAACAAAGTGAACGAGCAGGCTGGGCTTGTAAATAGCAACGAAGAGAAAGGTCGCTGCGCTCGCTCCAGGCTCCTTAGAGAACAAAGCCTGGCATTCTGTTGGATTGTCCCTTGGAATATGTGTATCTGAGATCCATCAACGTAGTTAAGCTAAGTAAAACCTGGCTAGAGATCATGTGTTCGTGCTGAATGAGACAAAATGCCACGAATCGTAAGAATTCACTGTTCCTTAGAGCTCATAGCGTCAACTGGTATCAATAAGTAAAAGAGAGTTGGAGAATTATTTAAAATTAAAAATACTGTAAATGTTTACAAATGCAACAAAACTGTAATTAAATATTCAATAGGAGATTCACTTAAAAAAATAAAAAAATAAGAAACTGCACAGATGCCTTGCACTGCGTTTTCAAATGCTTACCAATGGGAGACGCCCCAGGCCATTTGCATTCCCCCACAAACGCCCTTTTAGCTGCTGCGAACAAGGCTCTCCTTCATGCTGCGGAGCCCGCCCGCGGCCCCGCTCACATAAGAGCCCCCGAGTGGCGTCCACCACAGCGGCCTGCCAGGCCTGTCTCCTCACAAGACCACACTCAGGGCTGCAAAGCCTACACGAGCGTGCCAAATACCCAAACCGTACACAGTTTATTATTAATAATAAAACCTGACCACCCAAATCCACAAACTGAAAACCACCAGGGTTGCTGCTAGTGACGAGCGTGGAGGGAAGCAGAGAACATTCCAACGCTTGGGCTGGGGTGGGGAGGATGTTCAGTAGGTAGGGAAGAAATTGTTTTTGACGTGTAAACAGATCTAAAATGTTTTCTGAAGTCAAATCTTTTCACATTTTGTGAGGCTTAAGATGTTATTTTTATTGGAAGATTCTGGTAAACTACGAGGAACTAATTTAGCCTGAGCTGCTTTTTAGCAATCTGGAAACCTGGTTATTTGTAGGTTAGTTGTGGCACACATCAACTAGCTCATACTTAGAGTTTTAACTCCCATCCTTTGATAAACAACGACTTCCCTCCTCCAAAGGAAAACACATTGATTAGGATACAGAAACAAGGCTCAAGCAAAGCACAGGAGGATGGAAAGGGGGCAGGACCCCCTTTCGGGGTGTATGTAGCCCCGCTGTGCACAACTGTGGCTTTGGCCCCCCAAGCAGAAGCCCCTCTCACAGGTCTCAGAAAAGGGCTGGGTGCTGTCATCTAGGGGGGTGGGCTCCCAGAACACATGGCTGTCCCCAGTGACAGGCCACGGAGCCCTTTTGGTAGTCAGATTCCTAACACTGAGCAATAGGACTCACCTGGATGCCCGGTTCTCAATCCTGGCTGCACACCAGAATGATCCAAGGAGTTCTAGAAATAACAATGTTGAAGCCCACCCTCCACTCTAGACCAGCAACCTCAGGACCTCTGGGGGATTTCCCGACACCATGTGCCACCCCTCATAGGTGGTCAGCACCCCAGGAACACCTTGGCCAGGAAGGTCTCTTCACACAAAGGAGTCTATACACACAATACACGCAGTGGTTGACCAGCACAGGGTTGTGGAGGGAAAAGAGTGTCATCTAGCCAGCAGGCTCAGTGGTGAGGGTGATGGGCGTGACCACCCCACCTGTCCCATCAGCCCACCGCAGATACAAGTCTGCACTCAAAGACCAATTGTGTCTGTTGCCAACACAAATCTGCAATTTAGTTTCCCCTGATGGGCTTTCATCCTCGTGCCTGGAATCTTGACTAAGGGCCATCACAGCCTGGAAGTCACCATCTCACCCAACTGGTGCGACAGAACAAGGCACACCACTCAGATCTAGTAATTACTTTCAAACATTGGTACAAAAATTAGATCTCATGCAGAATAAAAACTCTCCTGATGTGCTTCTTACGTGGAAAACTCTACCAGCCCATTAAAGTGAAAACACATTTAAAGTATATTATTTCAAGAGTAAAATACACTGCAGTAACTAATGATCACGAAAGGTTACTTCTATGTATAAAACCAATTACTAAATACATACAAATATTTCAGAGCCACAAACTGAACATGAACAAAATACAATGGCTGCACAGGTGAAGAAAGAACCCAGCGTTTCCGAAAGGGAACAGGTATGCAAATGTACACAAGCCTGCAGGCATGGCGGCACAGACGGGCCGGGTCCTGACTCTGGTCTAGACCAGACCAAGGGGCCAGGCCTCACCAGGAGCAGAAGCCCACGTGCTACACGGGGGCCATGAAGCAGAGGAAATGCAGCAGCGAGGCAGAAGGCATGTGTGACAGAAAACCAACAGAGGGCTCGGGGCCAGGACGTGAACAGAACTACCCAAGTCAAGAAAAAGGGTGACAACCCACCACAAAAATGAGAGAGAGGCTTGAACAGGCAAGCACTTGACATGAGACACGAAAATGTGCCGAGCCTCGCTGGTAACCAGACCGAACTCAGAGCGATTGCCAGCAGCAAGCGCGAGCAGGAACACAGGCTGTGGGCGCTGCCCTGCATGGCTGGGATGGTGCTTCAGAAATGGCTGGGCCTCACATATGAGAGGCGGGCACACACATTCCCTAAAGTGTGAAGCTACAGCCACTTCACACCTGCCCATCCGCACCAGGGGACATGTCCAAGGACATGCGTCCCAGGATCACCCGTCACAACTCTGGTTAGCAAACACCCAAATACCTACCGACCACAGGATGGACGAACACAGTGCTGTGCCCGTGAGTGAGGCAGCAGGCAGCTACCCACAGCAGTGAGCTCTTGCTACATAGGACACCAAGGACACACTGCACGAGGGGCTGCTGAGTGAGAGAAGCCAAACACAAAGAGCCACGTGTTAACGAGTCCATTTCTAGAAACCTCAGAAGCAGGCCAAAATGTCTTTAGTGTGGGGTGCCAGGGAGGGGTTCCTTTGGGAAGGAGGGGAGGAGCAGGGTCTGGAGGCCCAGGGGCCCAGACACCGCTCCTGTCCTGGTCTGGGGGCTCTACTGGGGGGTGAGCTTATGAACAGTTCCCTATGTATTGGAGGCTGTGCCCTTTTCTGTGTGTGTATCATACACAGTACAAAAGATTCTTAAATTTCAAAGAACAGTCTTGACAAGAACACTTTAATACGTTGCATGCTGTCATGCACATGTGGATTAAAATCTGAGCAAAAATCTAAAGTCTAAAATCTATACAACAGGTTGTTAAGATGGTTTTTCTTACTTGACAGCTAACCGTTTTAAGTAGCTGAGGTTAACGGAGATCTGAGGTTCATGTGTGTTACTGAAATATGCAAATACCACTATTTTTGCTCACAGGTGCTGGAAGTCCATCACCTGAACGTCCCCACGTCAGAACCCGACGCAGGAGAGAAGCGCACGTCTTAGCTCATGTTCAGTGTCACCAGGGATCAAATGAGTTCCGCTGAGCACCAAAGTCTCAGGCAGAAATGAGCCGAGCCCAGCAATGTGACACCCACTCTCACTGCTGTCTAGGTCCTGGGTGTGTCACTGGAAACAAGCTGCCGAAGACAGAGGCACAGACGCGCGTGGGAGACAACTGCCTTCGGCCTCAGTCTGCGCGGATGCGGCCCGTGTGCAGGACACGCCAGGCCTCACAAACACTGGTCCTTGCTGAGCCCACTGGAGGCATCACGTGGCCGGGGACTGTGGCTCCTCCCCCAGGGACACAGGAAGCCGCCCCCCATCACCTTCCATAGGGCGAACAACATACAGAATCATCTCCTTTCCTGGAAAATGACAGACCCTACTGGTCTTCAGACATACAAACACTGCCACTAGAAAAAGCAAACGTTAGGGTCAAGAGGGCCAATGTGAAAGCAGGCAGTTGGCCACTGTGTCCCCACTCGGCCCCCAGGCCACCCCACGAGTGAGGCCTGCTTCTACGGGGCTCACAGTGTGCTCACAAGAGGAAAGAACTTTGAAACCTCCAGGACGAACTTCCAGGTAAAACCCGCTTTGCACCTGCTGAGAACACTTTAGAACGCTCCAATCAAGCCAGAGGCCATGCTGCACACCCCAAACGAAGGCACAGATCCGGGCTACACTTGCCCAAGCTGAGGGCGACACAGCGTGCTCCGCCTGGGGGTGGGGTGCGGGGGTCCCCCGCAGGCCTCTGCCTATGGGACCCAGAGCCCAAGAGCCGCTGGAAAAGCCGCCCCAGCAAGGCCCCAGCGCCCCCCAGCTCGCAATTGTGCCCGCACACTTACTCTCTTTGCCTTTCTCCTTGTTCTTGAGCTGCTGCAGCTTCTGCTCGCGGTGTTGCTTCTCCAGCTCCTGCTCCTGGCGGTGTCGCTCCAGCTTCCGCTGATGCTCCAGCAGCTCCTGCTGATGCTTCACGGCCAGCAGCTCCTGCTGTTGCTGTGGGGAAGGAAGGGGGACAGAGATGGTCAGAGTCTCGCTCCCGAGGAACACGAGACAGACACACACATGAACAGCAGCAAAGGGCCAAGCGTCCACACGTCCGTGTCGCCTACAGAGAGGGCTATGCTCTGCACGGTCCGCACGCAAAGCCTGGCTGCCGACTTTCTCAGCAGTAAAAACTAAAATAAAAACCACTGAGCTGCTTGGAGAAAATGCACGTGAAGATCTGGGTGATTGCCTGCGTTGGGAAGGGTGCTTGGAGAGTGACATAGCAGGGCCGGACTGGGTATGGCTGCTCCAGAAAACCGGGAGAACTCCTCAGCAAGTTAGATGCATGTCTGCCCCGGGACCCAACAACCCCGTCCCTGGCCGTGGGGACACGTCTGCACACCCGCCTGGATAAGAAGGGCATGGCGGCTTGCTCACAACAGCCCAGCCACCCAACAACGGGAAAGACCCATGAGAAAACATAGGTGGGCTGTCAGTAAACAAAAGGCACACGCCAGTGGCACTGATGGGCTTGTGGGCAGAGTCGGCCCTCAAAGACTCCCCATCTGTGACGTTCTGCTGGGCGGCGGGGGGGTGGATGGAACGCTTGGGGACATAGCAGCTAAGCCACAGGCAACATCCACACCCGGCCTGCAGCACTACGGGCATGCAATCCCTTGCCTTGTTGTTGTGGGTCCTGTTTCCATCGTCCCTCCTGGGTGGGTGGCCATCCTGTTCCCTGTGCAGAACGGGGGCCACACTGGCAGTCCCAGCAGCCCCAGAACTTTCTAGCAAGGAAATCTAACACACACTCTCCCAGATCCAAGCCATCAAGTGCCTAAGACAGGGACAGACCGGAACATCCCTCTGGCTGTTCCCAGGAACTATGGTGGCCACCAGGGACCAGCCAGGGACATTGAGGTACGTGGAGGCCCGCGGGCTGGAACCAGAGCACAAGGCAAGGCAGAGCCAAGGGGAACACGGAGTTAGCAGGACCAGGGGGTGGCCGTGCGGGGCACGAGGTGCTGTTTTGTGAGGAAGGCATTGTACTCTGCCAGCTCTAGGGGGTGGGCCCTGGGAGCCCTCCTGCCTCTGGGGAGGGGGCTGAGCTCTTTCCCACCAGAGGCCACAGGGAATGAGGGGGCGATGCCACCATCAGGGGCCCCGGCGGCTTCCTGGGCCCCATTTCCCACGATGCCATCGCCAGAATGTACAAATCACCCAGCTTCTGTTACCAACCAGAGCAGCTCATAAATTCAGAAAACAGGGCATCAGATGTCTCGGAGCTCTCTTCGGTGAAGACGTAATATATGTCACCCACCATGTCTGTGACTTCTGGGAGGTTGACATCACATTACACAGAAAATGTTACAGAAAAAGAGCGTCATTGTAGAAATATATAAAATGAAAATTCTCACTCTCCAGATAAAGCCCACAACCCTGCAGTGGGAGTGCGAGTGCTAGCCAATCAGACGGACATTCGCCAAAACCTCAGATGCAGCTGTGGCAGTAATAGCTGAGGAGCAAAAGGAGGCAACCGCCAGCTCATAAATGGGGAAGGCGCAAGCAGGAAGTGCGGCCCAAGGGCAAGGTGCCGGCCACACCCTCACAGACAGTGCCACAGGAGGCTCTTAGCCTGGTCTCGGACAGACACACCCTATGGCGACAGCCCTGGGAGCCAGCGCTCCAGCCTCCCAAACTCCAGTCTCATGACCTCCGGGCCGCCCTGTCTCCTAGTCTCCTGGCCTCCCAGCCACCCGGCCTCCGGGCCCTGCTGCTGGGGAAGCACCCCATGGCCAAGCCCCACAGGGCTCAGAGCAAGGGCAGGAAGCATTAGCAGGGCCTGGAGCTCAAGCCAGGCCTGTCTCATCACACAGCAGAGTCCCAGCAGCTGTGTGGTATTTCTCACTGCAGGGGACCCGCAAACCGTGCACAAACTCGACCACCTCCCACCTTCTACAAAGGGGAAGGGAACTCCTTTCCAGCCAGAAACACAGGGACAGAATAGCAGAGAGGCAGGTGTAGCTAGGCCCAAAACCAGTGCAGGAAGGAGCAGGAGGAAGGGGAGCGGTGTCCGGACCCCACACAACAGTGTGCCCTTCCCGTGGAAGATGCTGCTCAGAAGGCAGGTGGGACCCAGGTGCGGGGGCCGAGGTCTGGTGGCGGATCAAGGTGGCCGTGTGTGAGGGCAGGGCCGTGAGGTCCTGCTCAGTGGCCACCTGTGGGGACCATGGTGTGGAAACTGAGAGTCACTTTTCAGAGCTTTCCTATGAAAAAAACATCCCCTTCGAAACAGGCATCTTCCATGAGCCAGAGACCGTGACACTATCAGAAGCGTGCCAGCACATTCCCGGCCGCTGCTTCCAGAAGGCTTGTGGGTAGCGCTAGGTGGAATCCGAAGGGCTTGGGAGCAGGGAACTCGCTCCAGGGCCCCACATCTGTGTGCACAGGTGAAGGCGCTCTGGTGTCAGTGGGCCACGGCCAGCAGCTGGGGGGCTCCTTGGTGTCCACAAGCTGGAGGGCAGCCCACGAGGCTTCAGCTGAGAAGCCCCACACAATGGTGTCTCAGACAGCAGATCTTATAACCAAACGTCCCCTCGCCGCATCACCCAGGCCCCTGAGCTGCCCACACACAGCCCTGGGTTCCCTTCCAACGGCTCGGTACTCATCTAATGCACAAATGAGGAACAGGCAAAAATCCACTGAATATAGTCTCAAAATATTTACTTTTCAGCCAGAACCTGGAAGGAAGATCTTTCCATTACCATTACAGAAACACCGAAACCACCACCGCCAGATACTGGTGATAAAAATTCACAGGACAATCTAACTCCCAGGAAATCAATACCGTCGTGGAGTTTTTAGGAAAGTAGCTGTTACGACTTGATTCCCCCAAAATGCCCCACAGCTACCCTGCAGGCCTCGATCCCGCTGCACTCGGAGAGACGCTCTGCCTTATCGGCTGATGGGACAGGAACGTGTACAGGCTGCCTCTACCCGAAGGCCGGGAGAACGAGCCAGACTGTGGCTCCTGTCACGCATGGTGTCACCACACAGGCCCGTTCCTGGACCTTGCGACACAGAGACCCTCTGTGCTCCCAGCTTCTGGAAAATGAGGAAGAGGTACCAGGTGAGGAACTCCCGCTCACTGTCCTGTACCCACCCACACTGCATGCTCTGTGCCCCCCTTCCCCGGGGAAGGGACAAACATGCCCCACAAGTACAGCCTCCAGCCTGTGAGAAATAGGAGAAGAGAATAGAAGCTGACTTTTATTTTGGGCACAATGCACATTGTCCCTGACAGCTGGGACCTCGCTGACAGAGGTTGAGATCAGAGTATCCTATGGGCAGTGGGAAGCAACGAGAAGGTGTTTTTCTGCAGACAGAAATTATTACGAGCAATCTGAAGTAAGATGTCCCCCACCTAATGTTTCCAAAGGAAAAAACCCAGTAAGAACAGATGCCATTACTCTAACCAGCGTTTAATACTGAATTTCTGTTGAAGTCAACACTGAGCTCAGGACGAAAAATTAGATCCCGAGAATTCAGTTTGACTCTGACTTTGGAGTTCAATGACCACACAGGAAGTGGAAACCCAAGCAGATCTTTACTTTCAAGGCTGAACTGAAACAGAGCCCGCTCCACTGAAGGACAGCATGGGGACGAGTCTTCACGTGGTGCCCTGGCCTGAGGACAGGATGCTTCCGGGGCCCAGCAAGCCCGGAGGGCTGCTCCCCTCTCGACCAGGGAGGATGACTGGCTCGCGCGGTGGCGCACCAGCTTCCAGGAGAGCATGGTAACACCACCTCAGTCCGCTGACACAGGCCCTGCTCACAGCGCTGCTCCAAATTCAAGCCCTGGGGCCCCGAGGTTCTGCAAAGTGCTTCTGTTGACACTGTGGCCGTTTATGAGGCCACGTTCCTTGGGCCCTATAGTGCCCCGCATCACAGACATGATCTGCAGCAACTGGGGCTGGACGCTGTCTCAGCCCCTCAGGGTGCCCGAGGGCCATGAGTACACTAGGTGTGTGTTGCGGTGGGGGCAGGCCCCAGGGCCACAGCCTGCTCAGGCTCCTAAGGACGTCACCTGGCCACATGCATGGGAACCTCTACAGGGGCCCAGAACCCCAAGAACGAGCAGTGGGCTTCTTTTGAAAGTCCAGGGTACCTTCCTGATTTTAAATGCACATGTAGACTCCTGTGGCCGATATGCAAACAGCCCCAGCCCGACCTTCCAGAAGATACGGACTAGACATCTGAGGGTCCCGTCAGCCAGGTCATACCACTAAATTCTGGTTGCCAACAAAAACCAACCAAGCAGCCAACCAACTGTGACCATCTTCCCATCTCTCTGATGTTAACTAGCCTCCTTGAACTGGACTTTAACCACCTAGGGTCCACCAAGCTTTGTGCCAGTCTGCCCCCACTGTGATGCTACACCCGTAGAAATGATGTGTCCTGGGGCCCGCGGGGACCCACTGGCTAGCTTTGGCCACGCGCCTGCTCCTGAGGCTCCTTCCCCGCTGCTCAGCGCACCCCTGACCACAGATGATGGCTGCATCCCACCCTCCCACTCTGGTTTCTCTTCCTCCTTCACCAGCGGCCCAGGCTGCGGAGATGCCTTACCTAGCCCAGGACAATGGGGCCAGAGGGAAGGAAGAGCTGACTGGGCTTCACAGATGGACGGCTGGTTCCCAGGGCCAGAACCCCTGCGCTCAAGTCCACACGAAGCCAGTGAGGGCATGTTCTTCTCCCTAAGCAAGTCCCATGGGCCTTCCTCACAGACAGATGTTTGTGTAAAGAAGGGGACAGCAAAGGTGCAGGCCAGCCTGTCTCCAAGGCCTGGTATCTGCCATCATGAAACAGGACAGACAAATGGACACATAATTGCCCCTGCCACCTACTTCCCTATGTAACTTGGAAAAGGTTACACCAATGATGAAACACAGGCTTCACGCACACCCTTCTACACTGTATAGGCCCGGCGTGGTCAGTGCTCACAGAGCTGCC